ATCCACCCTAACGTGCACATCCCTGGGCACTACGGGACAATTTAGCATGGCCAATCCACCCTAACCTGCACATCCCTGGGCACTACGGGACAATTTAGCACGGCCAATCCACCCTAACCTGCACATCCCTGGGCACTACGGGACAATGTAGCATGGCCAATCCACCCTAACGTGCACATCCCTGGGCACTACGGGACAATTTAGCATGGCCAATCCACCCTAACCTGCACATCCCTGGGCACTACGGGACAATTTAGCACAGCCAATCCACCCTAACCTGCACATCCCTGGGCATAGAACATAGAACATAGAACAGTACAGGCCCTTCGGCCCACGATGTTGTGCTGAACTTTTACCCTAAACCTAAGGTCTATCTAACCTCCACCCCTACCTTATAGTATCATCCATATGCCTATCTAATAGCCGCTTAAATGCCCCTAATGAGGCCGACTCCACTACCCTCTCCAGCAAAGCATTCCATGCCCCGACCACTCTCTGAGTAAAGAACCTACCTCTGATGTGTCCCCTATATCTACCTCCACTCACTTTAAAACTATGCCCCCTCATAATAGCTACCTCCACCCTAGGAAAAAGTCTCTGGCGGTCCACTCTATCTATACCTCTGATAAACTATGGGACAATTTCCCATGATCAATCCACCCTAACCTGGACATCCCTGGGCACTATGGGACAATTTAGCACGGCCAATCCACCTTAACCTGCACATCCCTGGGCACTATGGGACAATTTCCCACGGCCAATCCACCCTAACCTGCACATCCCTGGGCACTATGGCACAATGTAGCATGGCCAATCCACCCTAACCTGCACATCCCTGGGCACTATGGGACAATTTAGCATGGCCAATCCACCCTAACCTGCACATCCCTGGGCACTACGGGACAATTTAGCACGGCCAATCCACCTCGCCTGCACATCTTTGGACTGTGGAAGGAAACTGGAGCACCCAGAGGAAACCCACGCATACACGGGGAGGATGTGCAGGCTGTTATCGACCAGACCCAACCCCCTCAAAATATTCAGAAAATAGTCTAGACCCTAACATTTTCTTATTTTCAAAGTAAGGTGTTGCATTCCAGATGTAATTCGATTGGTCAAACCACCAGAATTAAAGCAAAACACATAGTTAAAATACAACAGAAGAAGGAATTGGAATAACTTAACTGTATTAGAAAATTTAACCGAATAATGGGTACAGTAACTATTACAAATTCCCTGTTCCAATATAGTAACATCACATAAACGCACTCCTTGGCCAAGAGGCAAATTCAGTGAAATGGATTCTCACATGCAACTCCCATATCCCAAAAGGAAGAACATCAAGAGAAAATTCTGAGACAGTGTAGCAGCTGGGAGAGATTTACTGCAGCTCCGAACTATGCTGAGATCCAGCAACAACTGCTTAAAAGCTAAAACTAAAACTAAAAATCCTGGTTCTGTGGGAGGTTGACCACACCCATTCAGGCTGCTTCTATTGTTCTAACATTTTAAAAAAAAAACACCCAAGGCCTCACAGGGTGTTTATCTTCTTGTAGATTGCTCGCCACCTGTTCCCCAAAGTCTCCCTCCAAAAGAAACCAGGACAAAACACAGCCCTTAAAGCCACAGTATTGTCACAAGATTTATGACGCACAGTGAAAGGGTGGCACAGTGGCTCAGTGGTTAGCACTGCTGCCTCATAACACCAGGGACCCGGGTTTAATTCCAACCTCGGGCGACTGTCTGTTGGAGTTTGCACATTCTCTCTGTGTCTGCGTGGGTTTCCTCCGGGTGCTCCGGTTTCCTCCCACAGTCCAAAGGTGTGCAGGCTAGGTGGATTGGCCATGCTAAATTGTCCCATAGTGCCCAGGGATGTGCAGGTTAGGGTGGATTGGCCGAACTAAATTGTCCCGTAGTGCCCAGGGATGTGTAGTTTAGGGTGGATTGGCCATGGGAAATTGCCCCATAGTGCCCAGGGATGTGTAGATTAGGGTGGATTGGCCATGCTATATTACCCATAGTGCCCAGGGCTGTGTAGATTAGGTGGGTTACAGGGAGACGGGTCTGGGTGGGATGCTCTGAGAGTTGGTGTGGACTTGTTTCCACACTGTAGGGATTCTATGATGAGGCTTTGTTGGCAATCGGGTGATCTAATGCTTGACTGTTAATTTTCGGTTCTCTGTTGTATTTTTGTCAGTCTGAAGCTGGGGAAAGGGGTGTGGGTTACAGACAATAAGGATTGTGCCAGCAATAGTTTGAGGGTTCAAGTCTAATATCCTTGCCTTTGTTCTGCGAAAGAATACTTACAGGGCCCGCTGACGGAACAAAGACATCGACTTCTCACTTTTATTTAAGAAACATCTTTCCTGTAGGCCTCATCTTGCCACAGGGCTGCAAGAGAGGGCACTATCATGTGACATTGCATCATTTCCTGTGCTTGAATAATTGCTTGGTAGTACAGAACTTAAATATTTCCAAAAAAAGAAACAAAATTGAAGCTTTCCTGCTCCTCTGATGCTGCTTGGCCTGCTGTGTTCATCCAGCTCTACACCTTGTAAAGCTCTTTTTTAACCCTCATTAAGGCTGGGACACCAGAAGCCAAACTTAAAAAGGCAATATCAAGTTGTACAGTGTGAGGAGAGGGTGCTGATTGGTTGAACCATGGTCGGCATGGAGATTCAGCAGGAACTGTTAATGGTCAATCTTTGATAGCTAATTAAATTCAGACCAGGAACATAGATTCTGATTGCTCAGGGTGTTGCAAGCAAGGATTAGCAGTCTCTCTTACTGTTTCCTCAGTGAAAAAGGAGCAATGAACAGATTCAGGCACAGGCCCTGGACACCTATACTGGGGCTTCTATCAACATGGAGGTCATTGTTGTGGGACAAGTGAGCCGTCAGTCAGAATAAACGCTCGCACATCTGATTTGGTGCTACTTAGGAACATATACCTTTGTAGAAAATGCTGATACTCCTGTTCCCTCCTTTTCTTCAAATCCTCCCGTTCGTCTTCTTTGAAGACCTGCTCAAACTGTTGGACAGAAACCTGACGGAAAAGGTGCTTGGTAAAGGGTAGATTTATCATGGGCTCCTCTTTCTCACATTGGCAGCCATTCTTTGGAAGAAGCCTAAGGATAAAGAGTTTTGTGACATCAAAATGTGCTAATAACTCAAAGTTTGGACAAGTATTGGATACCTCTTCATGATTGGCTTGAGAAACCCAATGACCCAAAATTAACAAAGGCAATCATTAGGACATTTAATAATCTACACCTCTTCCCATAGATCCAATAAAAAAAATTGAACAACTTACCAGTGAGATGAAAACCTCCTCTTTCTGAATGCTATGAGGATCCGAACAGGTACAAATTTTAGGATGGCCATGACTCAGTTCAACATGGCTACAATAAATACCAAACTTAAAGTTGTGACAACCTCTTTGATGGGGCATTTCTTTTCAACAAAAATTTATTCATCACATGTGGCTAGGCCAAGACATAAGGTGGGAAATCCCAAGGGATCGCGGAATAAAGTCAAAAAGACAAAGTTAAGGACACACTACCTGAATCCACACAGCATTCACAAGGTAGATGATTCAAACGCACAAATAGAGGCAACTGGATATGATCGAACTGCCACTACAGAAACCTGGTTACAAGGTAACCAAGAGTGGAACCTGGATTAAGATCTGGCGAAAAGATGCTGTTTTGTTTTTATTTGCTCATGAGACATCCTCGGCCAGCATTTATTGCCCATCAATAAGTTGCCCAGAGGGCAATTAAGAGGCAGCCACATTGCTGTGGGTTTGGAGTCACATGTAGGTCAGACCAGATATGGATGGCAGTTTCCTTCCCTAAAGGACAAGGTTATAGAGTCACCATTAGGCTGGCTTTTAATTCCAGATGATTTGATTGAATTCAAAGTCTGCTAAATGCTGCCAAGGTGGGACTTGAACCCAAGTCTCTGTGATATTAATCTGGGATTCCGAGCTCACTCGCCCTGTGATATTATCACTCCACCACACGCGCTTAGTTGCTGACTCAATCTCGGTGTGTCGGTGCCTATTGGAGATTACCATCAACTTTCTAAGGGAAACTAGCCAAAAATGACAAATGAGCACCTAGATCTTGAAGGGAACAACTCACTCGCCACACCTCCAAGTGTTAAAGGGAAGAGCATTCTTTCGCGATTACCAAAATGAAGAACATAGAAACATAGCCGGTGTTATCCTCATCCCATGAATGAAGGAAAAATAAACCTCTGCAATCTTTCCAGGCTCACACACCCTGAGTTGTAAAGCAGCACGGTGGCTCAACGGTTAGCACTCCTGCCTCACAGCACCAGAGACCTGGTTTCGATTCTACCCTCGGGCGACTGTCTGTGTGGAGTTTGCACATTCTCCCCGTGTCTGCGTGGGTTTCCTCCGGGTGCTGCAGTATCCTCCCACAGTCCAAAGGTGTGCAGGGTTAGATGGTTTGGCCATGGGAAAATGCAGGGTTAGGGTGTCTGGGTGGGATATTCTTTGGAGGGTTGGTGTGGACTCAATGAGCTGAATGGCCTGCTTCCACACTGGAGGGATTCTATGATTCCAAGTAAATCTAACCTTCTTGAAAACATTTAATCCTTTGGCCTCAACCACATTCTGTGGCAGAGAATTCCACTGGATCCAGGTGAAGACATTTCTCCTCATCTCAGTCCTAAATGGCCTGCCCCATATCCTTAAACTGTGACACACCCCACTCCCCACCAGAAATGGGGATTTTTTTGGATTAAAAAAAAACTTGAATCCCCGCACAAAAGGCAAAGAAAATGATAGTAAAGTCTGGGAGATTCAAGGCTGCCTCCATGTGACATCAGGGTGAAAGCAGGAAGGTACAGACTCACCCAGCCACTATCTCTTTCACTCTGTAGGATATGTGGGCATATTTGTCAGAAGGTTCCCAAAGCCCACGTTCCAGAAGGTTCTCGGAAATCCCAGGAAATCGGTACTTCACGTCGACAACACGGTAAGGCTTCAGCGACCAGAGGCAAAGGAAGAAAATTCCCAGCGGCAGCGTGACAAGCAAAAGGCAACACAGGGGCTTTCTGACAGGACGCATGCTGGAAGCAAGGGAACATTATCAATCATTTCTTTCAGAAAGACATTTCAAATAAGCACACTGTTGATCAACTTAATAAACTATCAGGAGTTAGTTCATGAACAACTGAACTTTGCTTTGCAACACCACTAAGTTCTTAAGGTCATAGACGCATAGAGGTCAACAGCATAATAATGGCCCTTCAGCCCGTCGAGTCTGCACTGGTTAAAAACAGTCCCCTAACTATTCCAATCCCATTCTCCAGCACTGGGCCCCATAGCCTTGTCTGCCTTAGCATTGCAAGTGCACATCTAAATCCTTCTTCAATGTGATGGGGATTTCTGCCTCTCCCACTCTTACAGGCAGTGAGTTCCAGATTCCCACCACCCTCTGGGTGAAAAGGGTTTTCCTCACGTTCCCTCGAAACCTCCTGCCCCTTACCTTCAATCTATGTCCCTGGTCATTGATTACACCATCAAGGGGAAAAGTTTCTTCCTGTGTACCCTAGCTACGTCCCTCATAATTGTATACATCTCAATCATGTCCCCTCTCAATCTCCTCTAGTCCAAGGAAAACAAGCCCAGTCTGTCCAATGTCTCTTTATAATTGAAACTCTCCAGACCAGGCAACATCCTGGTAAATCTCCTCTGCTCCAGGCTAGGCAACATCCTGGTAAATCTCCTCTGCTTCACACCAGGCAGCATCCTGGTAAATCTCCTCTGCTCCACACCAGGCAACATCCTGGTAAATCTCCTCTGCTCCAGACCAGGCAATGAAGAAGGGTCTAGGCCCAAAACGTCAGCTTTCCTGCCCCTCTGATGCTGCTTGGCCTGCTGTGTTCATCCAGCTCTACACCTTGTTATCTCTAACATCCTGGTAAATCTCCTTTGTACCCTCCTACTATCATATCCCTTGTATAATGTGGATTCCAGAACTGCACACAATAGTCTTGCTGTGGCCTAAACAACACTTTATATAGTTCCAACATAACCTCCCTGCTCTTAAACTCCCTGCCTCAACTAATAAAGGCAAGTATCCCATATGCCTTCCTAAACGCTTTATCCATCTGTCCTATACCTTAAGGGATCGGTGTACATGCACACCAAGGTCCCTCTGACCCTCGGTGCTTTCCAGGGTATTACCGTTTGTCAGGTATTCCCTTGCCTTGTTTGTCCTGCCCACATGCATCACCTCACACTTACTGGGATTGAATTCTGTTTGCCTTTGATCAGCCTCCTATATCCTCCTCTACGCTAAGGCTATCTTCGTCACTATTTACCAGCCCATCAATTTTCACATCATTCACAAGCCTACTCATTAATCTCCCTACAATCAATAGAGTCTTAGAGTCATAGAGCTGTACAGCATGGAAACAGACCCTTCAGTCCAACTCGCCCATGCCGACCAGATATCCTCAATTAATCTAGTCCCATTTGCAGCATTTGGCCCATATCCCTCTAAACCTTTTCTATTCATGTACCCATCCAAATGCCTTTTAAATGTTGTCATTGTACCAACCTCCAACACCTCCTCTGGCAGCTCGTTCCATACATGCACCACCCTCTGCATGAAAAAGTTGCCCCTCAGGTCCCTTTTAAATCTTTCCCCTCTCATCTTAAACCTATGCTCCTCTAGTTTTGGACTCCCCTTGTCTATTCACCCTATCCAGGCCCCTCATGATTTTATATAAGGTCCCCTTCAGCCTCCAACATGCCAGGGAAAATAGCCCCAGTCTATTTAACCTCCCCCTATAGCTCAAACTCTCCAACCCCAGCAACATCTTTGTATAATCTTTTCGGAACCCTTTCAAGTTTCACATCTGTACTATAGCAGGGAGACCAGATTTGAATGCAACATTTCAAAAGTGGGCTAACCAATGTCCTGTACAGCTGCAATATGACGTCCCAAAGTCTAAATCATTTCCATATAACACAAATAGCAAGGGCCCCAACATCAACCCTTGTCAAAACCTCTATTGAGTATTTAAATTGAGTGA